AAAAAAAAAAAAAAAAAATATATATATATATATATATATATATATATGTACATATCAACATATTATGCATTTGTTACCATCCAATGTATTGCAACGTTGAAACTATACGTTGATGCTCATTGATATATTTTGACTGTAACGTAAAAAAATATAGTCTGTATTCTGCACAAGTCAAAACTTAGTTGAAGTGAATAGTTATGCTCAAGGCCTTGCTCTAGGTCTAGGACATCCATCTGCTTGCCCTTGCAGAGAAGCTGCTGATATTGCATGTGGGATAAACTTTGTCACGTATCCCTGTGTTGGACTTTCAACAAAGGACACGTTTCATTCATTTGCTTTTCCACATACATTTAATAAAGTTGCTCCAAGCTTAAACCTAAAAAATGAACTAGCAAAATGTGCAGAAACAATTCTGTGTGACATTTTATACAAATATATTCAAGTAAATTTGGCACAACAACACCATAAAAAAGACAAATAAATTAACAAGAAAATACAATTTGTACATTTGGTGTACAGTGAATTGGGAAATTTTGACTACGCAAGATCTAAAAGTCTAAAAGCAAATGTTCTTACATAAACTTAGGCTTAAAAGATGAGACAAAAACAGTATATTGTTTTGACATTGCACTATCATTTCAAAAAGACAAATATGAATACTGGAAACAATCTCCCACAGAAAAGCCTTCATTTGAAGGTCTTATGCATGTTTTCCACGACCACCCATAATCAGGTGTTAGAGAATAGAAGGATGTTGGCCTGTGCCTTTTTTTTTTTTGAACTATCAATCTGCTATGCAATAACCCATCATCTGCAGTCTCAAAAAGTGATGTGATCTACTGTTAAAAATCAATGAAACACTAGAGAATGCGATATCCACAGCATGTTATTAGAAGGGCTCCATTATTTCATCAAGTGTTTGAGCTGGTCCTGCAGGTTTTTGGAGTGTTCTACACTGTGAAAGACATTACAAGATGAAGAGTTAACAAATGTTTAGAGAAATTCACCAAAAAAAAAAAAAAAAAAATGCAACTATTTAAATAATTTGAATGACCTAAATATAATGACTTACTTCTTTTGAATGGCCTCTTGCCTGGATTTAAAAGATAAAGAAATATATCAGATTTCAGTTTTGTTTTATTTAGTCTAAACTATGAAATAACACAAATTAAAGTATGGGAATTATGTAGTGACCAAAAAAGGTTACAGTCAAGTCAAGTTTATTTATATAGCGCTTTATACAATACAAATTAAAAAAAGTTTCTTTGTAAAGGAACTCAAATAAAGGCACAATTTTTATTAATATACAAAATTAACTTACAAAAACAGAAAAACTTTAAGGTTACGAGGTATATGAGTGTTTCCTTTGACTAGTACTGTACAAGATGTTAATGTAGATAAATGCAGTATATATGTATACTTGTCTACTTACTGATACTGCAAGTGGGTTGTTATAATAGACATCTTCCGTAGACTCTGCAAGAATAAAGATACTTGGAGAAGTTACATCTGCTTTATTAAAGGTCCCATGACATGCTGCTTTTTGGATGCTTTTATATAGGCCTAAGTGGTCCCTAGTACTGTATCTGAAGTCTCTTTCCCGAAATTCAGCCTTGGTGCAGAATTTCAGCCACTACGAGCCAGTCCCACAATGAGCTTTCCTTAGGACGTGCCATTTCTGTGTCTGTAGCTTTAAATGCTAATGAGGAGGAGAGAGGCGGGACAACTGCCACGCTTCGCTCAAACCATGATGTCTCTCGAGGAAAAAAAAATATTGCGCTTGCCTTGCACGGTAGTAGCTCATTTTCTCATGGGCGGGCCAAATTCTCTGGGCGGGCAAAGCAGAGAAAGGGGAGGTAACCTTTCCCCGTATGACGACATAAAGGGAAGATTCCAGATTGGGCCATCTGAGCTTTCATTTTCTCAAAGGCAAAGCAGGATACCCAGGGCTCGGTTTACACCTATCGCCATTTCTAGCCACTGGGGGACCATAGGCAGGCTAGGGTAACTCATATTAATGTTAAAAAACCTCATAAAGTGAAATTTTCATGCCATGGGACCTTTAAACATTAAATAGCCAACTGTATCATATTCGATAAATGGAATTCTAAGGCCTCTAAATTATCAACATGATCAAAGCTACTGAAAAATCAGCTGTACACAATCTACTACATGCCTTCTGTCCTCTGACTGACAGTTCATGCTTTTTTAGCAAGTAAAATGCCTTTAAGTATAAGCAACTTAATCGGGTTACTTGATTATCAATACAATACACTATATTTAAAAATCATATTAAAATCTAAAAAGCATATCAATGCATTGCATTATTAGCACCCCACAGTAAAAACTAGAGCTTTGATCATAAAACTAAAGATTTGAATATCATCAAGAAATATTACTGGGAGATATAGTGACAACTATTATTTATATGCATTTGATGTAGTCTGTTATACTGTTATATCTTATAAATAAAGTGTTATAAAGAAAATAATTTTGCCTTTATATCACTTACATCTTCAGAATGCAGAATTGCATCTTCTTGAATTACCATATTTCTTGCTGCCTGACTGAGTAGCTGTAAAGTAGAAGAGACCACTGTTAATTTTATGAGATAACTGCATTCATCTTTATCTTAAAACCTAGTGAAACGCCTGTCTGTACACAGCATGTCTGGACAACATATGATGGCAAATATTTGGGCATATGAATCCCAGGATATACTAAGTTTTGAGGCTTGCATCCGGTGTGTATTACAATGCACAGCATAAATGAGTACGCCCCCTCTGATTAATTATTGTCACTTCTGCATGCTGCATCTTACTCTGTGAGATAAAGTGTCACTCTTTTCACAGCTTTTGCCGGCTCTGAGATACTTTCACAGTGTTTCTCCTGCTCTTTTTCTAGCAAAAACTCACTCATCACTAAATGAAATCTTAAAGTGAAGACCTGATTATTTCAGGGGCCTTTTCACAAGTCCATTGTTTTTTTTTAATCAATTTCCATCAATTTCTGTTTTACTTTGGCTATATTTTCACACTTAAAACAATAATTTGGTATTCCTCTTGTACCATTGTCCTCTTTTATGCTAAGAAATAAATCTCCTGACAGTTCTCTCTCTCAAGTGGTTTAATTGTTGGCAGCATTAAGTCTGAGTATGATTCAGTGGGCCATATAACACTTAATTATCAAGAAATTACTTACCTTTAACAGTTTTGGTTCAACATACTTACCTGTTGATCAATACTTTCCTTAACCTTACACCAGAATTATTATTTTTTTTTTAGTTTTATTTAGTAACTTTCAGGAGGGTGTACTCATTTTTGTAACACAACATCTGATCACTTTGATAAGAAAATTGTATTTTCTTGAATAATTGTAACATTCTTCTTTGGTAACTGATCAAGCAGACTTGCTGGAATATTATATCTCTACAAAACCATGACATGTCTTCTAAGCAAAGAGTAATTGCTGAAATTGTTAAGTTTCAGAGGGGGTGTAACGTTAGTCATTTATGCTGTGCACTGTACTATGAAGAGGAAACGTCTTATATATATATATATCAGTATAACGTTTCGTATATTTACTTCTTGGCTCCTGGATCCTTTCAACACTTGACGGGTTAGAGCGATCACATCTCCACTGCAAGAAGTGACTTTATCAGACAATAAACCTTTAACAGATTGACCGAAGCGAGGCTGCGTCTCGGAGGAAGCCATCACTGTTTACTACGGCACCAGGCGAGGGACAATTTCAAATATGAACGCGAATGACACAGACGAGAGGATGGGGAAGATGTTTAGTTAGGCTACTTAGATAACTTTATCTAATTTATCTTTATCTAACTTCATCTTTATCTTAGATAACTTATAACTTTAAGTAACTTAGTTACTTGGTAAAATACATTAACAAAGCACTTAAGTGAAGTCAAGTCATGTTAAGTCACAGTTTATTTTAGCACATTTCATATTCATTACATTTTTGTGTTATGTGCTTGCACAGTATCTTGTGTATCCTATTCTCAGTTTTATTCTTAACTGTTTTAATTCATTTTAAATATATATATATTTTTTACCTAATTTAAAATGTTTAATCTGCTTTTATTAATGTGATTATTTTTAATGATTATTGTATATGAAATGTACAATAAGCTTGCCTTGCCATATGAAATCTATTAAATATAAATAATTATTTAACATAAAAGCAATATATAGCATCAAAAGTAGCTTTTTTTGTACAATTATCCCATTTAAATCCTCTTATTGTAAGAAAAAAAAGATTATTTTTCTGTATGTTTAAAATACTATTAGTGACTACAAACCAACATTTGTTGTAGCCTACATTTTATTTTTTTATTTTATAGGCTACATTTTTTCTACGTTATAACAAACGTTATTATTTGATGTTTTATGCAATTATTTCTAGAAAAAACACAAAACAGGGGTTTAATGTGTGCAAAAAAAAATCCTATAGAAAATTGAACAGACTATGAACTTATTGTCTTAAAGACAATAAGGTTTAGTTCGACCTATTAATGATCATCATTTTCCAAAGGTTAAGCACCTCCTATATCTGATCATTTATCAAAAAAGGCTATTTTGTTTTTAAGACTTTCAAGCCTAATTTTGTATTCTATTTGTAGAAAGTGGCATTTTATCAATTGCACAGCATTACAGCATGCAGTTGTGATTGTTTCTGCAAGCACAAAAAGAAGTATAAATCTCAAAGTTAAGCTAAAAGTTGAAAAGAAATGGAAAATGTCCAAAAAAATAAAAGAAAAATGAAAAATAAGAAAGTAAAAAAATGGGCTGAGCTCAGACATGCACTTCCATGCATTTTTTGAATGTGGGGAACCAATCAACAGCCCCGATGACACTTAGATAGTTGAAGCTAAACTATTTCAGGGTCAAGGAGGTGGCATTGAAGAATTCACATAAAAATCTGCCGTCGCCTCGCCCATACAGGCAGTGCTGATTTGAAGAGCTGGTGACCACTTGGTTGAATGTAGTTGACCATGTCTGACCCACTCATCCTGCCATGGCTTCTCTGTTCATGCCTGTTCTCTGCAGTAACTCTAGCAGCGCTGTATCTCAAAAGGAAGATGAATGGATTTGTGCCAGGCGGCAGATCTCCTCCAAGCCTCCCATCACTCCCCATCATCGGGAGTCTCCTCAGCCTCGGAACTGACAGTCCTCCACACATCTTCTTTCAGCAGCTGCAGAAGAAATACGGAGATCTTTATTCCCTCATGATGGGCTCCCACAAAGTCCTGATTGTGAACAACCACCATCATGCAAAAGAGATCCTGATCAAAAAAGGAAAAATATTTGCAGGGAGGCCACGAACTGTAAGTAAACCGCATCACTTTCATCAGCAGCTGACTTTCACTCAAATATTTACTTTACTTTATATGTTTGTCTTTAAGGTTACAACAGACTTGTTAACTCGAGATGGGAAAGATATAGCATTTGCTGACTACAGTTCCACATGGAAGTTCCATCGGAAAATGGTGCATGGAGCTCTTTGCATGTTTGGTGAAGGTTCAGTTTCTATTGAGAAGATAAGTGAGTATCACTGCAGCCAACATGATATACAAATATATAAAGCAATGTAAATTATATAAAAAAAAATGCATAAAAAATGGAAAAATATACAAATCAGAGCCTGCTACCTAATTCTTACTTTCCACCTAAAGTCTGCAGGGAGGCCAGCTCTATGTGTGACATGTTGACTGAATCCCAGAACAGTGCTGTGGATCTGGCACCGGAGCTGACGCGTGCCGTCACAAACGTGGTGTGTGCCTTGTGTTTCAACTCCTCATACAAACGTGGAGATGCTGAGTTTGAGTCCATGCTCCAGTACAGTCAGGGAATCGTGGATACAGTCGCTAAGGACAGCTTGGTGGATATTTTCCCATGGCTGCAGGTAAGCTTCAGTGTGTGATAATGATGTGTCTTACACTGCAAGATTCTTAATTGTTTTGGAAAGAGGTCTCACCAGGGCTGTATTTAATTGATCAAAATGACAGTAAAAACAGTCAATTCAGAATTAAAAATAACTATCTTCTAAGTTCTGTTTTTAGAATGTAATTTATTTCTGTGATGCAAAGCTGAATTTTCAGCATAATTTTTTACTCCAGTCCAAAAATAATTTTAATATGCTGATGTGCTGCTCTAGAAACATTTCTTCTTATTATCAACGCTGAAAACAATACTATACTGCCTTATATTTTTGTGAAAACAGCGATAAATTTGTTAAGGATTCTTTGATGAGCAGAAAGTTCAAAAGAACCACATTGATTTGAAACAGAAATGTTTTATGACATTATAAATATCTTTACTGTCACTTTTGATCAATTGAATGCATCCTTGCTGCTGAATAAACGTATTGATTTCTTTCAAATTAATCTTACTTTTAAACGGTAATTCTTGGCTTTCCTAGCGGTTAGTTACCTAAGATAGCCTATAATAAAAATCATTTTTGTCTTATGCTTTGAATTCTAATAGCCTACATATGCATTTTTTCCTCCAAGATATTCCCAAACAAAGACCTCAAAATCCTAAAACAGTGTGTTTCAATCAGAGACAAACTGCTTCAAAAGAAATACGAGGAACACAAGGTAAACGTGCATCTTCACTATTACAAAAATACAAATGACAATTCTGAATATTCCCTGTTTGTAATCAACATGAGTTAATAAAAGCTGCGTGAACAATAAACAGTTTTAGATGGAGTGTAACATTTCAAACCAGAATATGTCAACATATGTATAAATTAGTGTAGACTAGACTCAACAAACAGCAGCTGTCGCCGCATATTCCAAAATGCACTCAAGTCGGTGCTTTATTATTTCTCCCTCAATAACCTGTGATTTGTCTCCCTCTACAGGTGGATTACAGCGATAACGTCCAGCGGGATCTATTGGATGCACTTCTGAGGGCCAAACGCAGCTCAGAGAATAACAACACCAGCACTCACGATGTTGGTTTAACTGAAGACCACGTGCTCATGACTGTGGGGGACATCTTCGGGGCAGGTGTGGAAACCACTACTACTGTACTCAAATGGTCAATAGCTTACCTTGTCCATAATCCACAGGTAAATAAACTGCTCACAACTGGCATTTCAGAATCAGTTCTTGCAACGAAACTTAGTAGATGTTCTTTACATTTGGCATTAGGTGCAGAGAAAGATTCAGGAGGAGCTGGACAATAAGACTGGAAAAGACAGACACCCTCAGCTCAGTGACAGAGGGAATTTGCCTCATCTTGAGGCCACTATAAGAGAAGTTCTGAGGATCCAACCTGTCTCCCCACTTCTCATCCCTCATGTGGCGCTCCAAGACTCCAGGTAAGGTTTAAAAAAAAAACAAAAAAAAAAACGAATATATTTTCCTTTATTTTGCAAGGATGCATTAAACTGTGAAATAAGACATTTGTTATACAAAACACTTCTGTTTCTACTTTTGACCAAATATTACTAAAAAAAAGGTATCACAGTTTCCACAAAAATATTAGGCAGCACAACTGTTTTCAACATTTATAAGAATAAATGTTTTTGAGCTGCAAATCACCATATTAGAATGATTTCTGAAAGATCATGTGATGCTGAAGACTTGAGTAATGGCTGCTGAAAATTCAGCTTTGCCATCATAGATATAAATTACATTTAAAGAAAATATTAAAACATAAAACTTATTTGAAATTGTAATGTTTTGCAATTTTATTTTTGCTGTATTTATCTTACTGACCTCAAACTGTTGAGTAGTAGCCTATACCATTACATTTGATTTATTATTTTAATTATTATTTGCTATTTGTTTTTGATGTCTAATGACCACTGTTTGAACATTTGAAAAATAAAAACTTTTAAACTTCCAAATTTTACTTTCAGGGTAGCAAAAATTTCACATTCATATAAAATACTGTCGTCGTGATGTCTTCTCTGCTCTCTTTGACAGTGTGGGAGAATACACTGTGCAGAAAGGAACCCGAGTCATTATTAACCTGTGGTCTTTACATCACGATGAGAAGGAATGGAAGAATCCTGAGCTGTTTGACCCAGGTGAGAATCTGCAGTGATATCAAACATTCATGTAATCTGTGAAGATTTCCAAATACAATGAATCCTTTAATCCGACAGGGCGATTTCTGAATGAGGAGGGTGATGGTTTGTGCTGCCCTTCGGCCAGCTATCTGCCCTTCGGCGCAGGGGTTCGAGTTTGTCTCGGCGAGGCCCTGGCAAAGATGGAACTCTTCCTCTTCCTGTCATGGATTTTGCAAAGGTTCACGCTAGAGATGCCCACTGGCCAGCCTCTGCCTGACCTCCAGGGCAAGTTTGGTGTGGTTCTTCAACCCAAGAAATTCAAAGTCATTGCTAAACTAAGAGCAGATTGGGAAAACTTCCCACTAATGCAGCACTGCTGAGTAAATGATGTGTCTTTTGTACTCTTGGGACATTTGTCATTTTTTATGAAGCCCGCTATCAAATATCACAAATCAGACATGAATATAATTCATATCTTGAGACAGTGTGACTCTATGATCAACAGTAATTGAGCAGAGTACAACAGTCAGGTTCTGGAGGTAAAAATCCCATTCATTTTCTCCATGGGGAATTGATTTTTAATTGAACTGTTAATCGATGGTATGTGCTTTTGTTGAAGTCATCAGTCCACATTATTTCAACTTATTTTTAATCATGGAATTCTTTATGACAAACTACATTACCCATAATTCTGCAAAGAAATGTCCACCAATCAGAAAATCAAAACAAGCAAAAAAGAACACTTTAGCACCTGCCCTCTCCTATGAAGCAGTGAATGATGTCAATCTCTCTGCATTCTCAAATACTTAAATTTGTAAATATACATGCATATTTTACAATAAATGTAAATATGTATTGCTTCTATATACGCATAATCATCTTTAAATCAAGTTATTTTCCCACCATTTTTTAGTAATGTCAATTTATTCTTTCCTTCAATAAAACTATTAAGTACAAAGTCTTGTACCTTTGTCTTTTTGTCCAATTTTAATTTCTTTTCTTTAGCAAAGACTTAAGAAATCCCTTTAGGAAAATTAATAAGAAAAAATACTTTGAGAACAAAGGTGGCTGAAAAAGGAAGACACTGCCATTTTGGATGCGTAACTGAACCACTCACAAAAATCCACTGGCTTTCAAAACATTCTTTGATACTCTTTCATTTGGTTGAGTCTTCTTATAAAATGCGGAAAATACAGTTTCATATATAAAAAGAAAGTGACTACGGATACAAAACTAAAACGTAGTACCAGGCTTGAATCAAAGCTTAAGAAAAAAAAGCAATTGGCTTGCAAAGCCTTCTTCACCTTCAAGCACGCACGCACGCACGCACGCACACACACACGCTGCTCAGTGTCAAAACAGTGCAATGACAAATTTTGAAGGGCAAAACAAATGAACATCTCATTCACAGTGAGCTACCCAACAGTGACTCAGATTTCCACTTTTAATCAATACCTTTGGTCTCAAACATCACAGGACGATAGAAAACAATGGAGACTAGAGCTACAGAAAGATCGTCATGAGCACCATTGCTGCGACAAGATGACTTGACTTCATAGCTTCAAGCTTCACTTAATCAGTCAAATAATTTTGATGCTATGATGCTATAACTGGTCCAAATCATTCAGAATGCTCAATATTAGGTTTAGCCAAACAATACTGCTACACAAATATTTCCGAAGGCACCGCGTCAATGTTGGAATCTACCTCCCAAACCGGTTTTTCCAGCTAACACACTGAACCTAATTTACCGGCCACATCACGTTTGAAAGAAAATTAGCCACCATTTACAAAGGAACACTCTGATCTGAAGATCAACAGGGCCGAAAAGCCATCTGTGCCCAAGCTAAGACTCCGTTATAGGATGCCTATAACTGCTAATCTAAACCAAAGGTCAAAGAAACACAGTGGCCTGAAGAACGGTCCACTTAAAGCATCCTACAATCACAACACACACACACACAGTGTAGGGAAGTGAAGTGTAGTGGAGCAGCTTTCAGTCTCACCGCCACAGAAAAACAAATCTCAATCTCATCATGAACCCGACTTAAGTGCTACACTAACATGACAGTAACCTTACCTGATCTGCTACAATAAAACGCACATTAAAAGCTTAATAAGGCCTGTACATAAGTTACTGTTAGTGGTGCAAGAGTTCCCTTAGTGTTAAGATACAAAAAAAAATTAAAAGCACTACGGGAGAATACAGAAATGAAATTAAGGCAAAAAACAAACATATTTCAATGATATGTTTCGATGGAAGGCTTATCAAGTGATCCTTTCAAACAAGACGTTGCCACTCAGCAAAATCTTCACTCATACTGGCCCTTATTTTATGCAGAAATTCTACGACAACACTCTTCTCTTTAAGGCATATGAAAACTACTTAAATCAACAAAGGCACCTAGTGTAAATGTACAAGCTGGGTTCAATCTTTATACAAAGGTATTTTCAGCCTTCATTTGAAGAGTCTTTGCATAATGAACTTCAAAATGTACTACTATATAGCATGTGAATATATTCAGTTTCTGCTTGTGGATCTATTCGGTTTATGCGAATAATCATGCAAAATATTGGATAAAGTCCGAGACCATGTTATACAATGATGAGACAAAATAAACAAAATGGCAACCATACCCTGCTGGGTAGGGAGCACATTCACTTATTGATACAAAAAAATATATATTTGAGATAATTACTTTCCTTCATTTTTCTGAATAGCATCATGCAGATACTCCAGATCAAACATTTTCAGAAAAAAAAGACAAGAAATAAAAACAAGAAACAACAACTGAACATTAAAGCTCTGAAGTATTAACAGACTGCTCTGTGGCCGTCTTTTCCATTTTTTTCGTGCACAATATAATCTTAAATTGATAATTCACCAAAAAATGAAAATTGTTATCAGTTACTCACCTTCATATCATTCCAAACGGACAAGACTTTTGATTTTCTTTGAAACAAAAATTAAGATGCTTTTAATCAAACCTGCAAAATTTCTGTACCTCCTTTGAAATTCCACCTAAATACTGATGCTTCAAAAAGTTAATAAAAAGATCATAAATGTAATGATGCGTAACAAGAAACGTCATTGGTTCTCGTGCATCATGTATGTCTCATCTTTTATTTACCATATTTGATGTGCTCTATGTATGTGCATATGGATTTATTTTACAATCTTGAACTTTTTAAAGCGTCCACTTTTAGTGGAATAGACCTTTTTTAAAATGGATCTTTCTTAAATTTTTTATTAAAAATATCCTTATTTGTGTTTTAAAGATGAACAAAAGTCTTGTGTATTTGGAATGCCATGAGAGTGACTACATAAAGACAGATCTTTCATTTTTGGGTGAACTGTCCCTTTAAGTATTTTAAAATGACATCAAAGATAAGAATTCAAGAGCAAAAGCCAGCACAAATCAATATCCCCTGACCTTGTGTGCCATCTTCATCTCAGTAGGAGGCAATAGCCCCCAAAAACCAACAAAAAGCCTCCAAATCTATAGGCATGTCACCCAGAGCTCGATAAGGCTATAAACTGAGGAGAATTTCCCCTGTGGCTTTGATCGTGACCTCTCTGTGAGGCAACAGACCTATTAACGTCTTTACTAGATTACCCTATTAATCCATAAAACCGTGAGGAGTCACACATTAACGCCCTTTTAAAACTCCCACACACACACACACACACACACACACACACTACACTCAAAGTGACATTGCTGACAGTACAAACTGATGTATCTCAAGAAAGTAAAGGGAGACAGCAGTCTAAAGTAAGTCTCTGCTGGAACCGGTTGTGCTCAACTCTGGGGGTCCGTGTTGTTGGCGTGATGCGGACCGTCCTGTTCGTTGATGGTGTGCAGATGGAGGCAGACTGGAGGTTGCTGATGCTCTCTTTGCTCTAGAGGCACATCTGAGGCAGCCAGGCCCTGTTCCTCATCCCCCGAACCACAAGGAGGGCTGCCGCCGCGGAGGTTGCAGCTATCACAGAAGTCCTGCTCCTCGAGCACCCCTCCATCCATGTGCCCTACAAGCTCTTTCATCTCCTCCTCTTCCTCTCCATCCCCGGGCCCCTGGTTGCAAACGCATACCTCAATCCCAGAATCGCCTGTGAAGCGCCGGTGGCGTCCTGGAGTCTTGTCTTTGTTGTCGGGAGAACAGTCTTCTACGGGTTCAGTCAGATCCTCGCCCGAGCTGCCCTGTTTGACGGGGCTGTGTGAGGTAGCGCACGCCACCTGCTGGGGCTGCCCGTCCTCTCCTCGGCTGAGGTACTGTGGTTTGTGGGTGTCTCTGACAGGGCGATGTGCAGTGGGAGTATGTGGCTGCTCTACACAGGGTCCCAGAGAACAGTTCTCAGATGCAGACGGGACGACGGGGCTGGACTGCAGTGGAGGGCAGAGCTCATCTGGTTGTTCAGAGCATAGGGGGTCAATGCTGGTGGACTGGCCTGGCTGAGAGGCACTGTATGGAGGCGGGGGCGTCGGAGGTCTGTTCTCAACTTCCTCGTATGCCGGTAAGAGGTAGCCAGACAGAAACCCTGGAGAAGAGGACGAAGAAATGCATTTATTGACCGACCGTGACTAAAGCATGCATTTCTTCTAAGGGGCAATGAACAGATCCAAGTAGTAGCTCTTCCAAGCTGTTAATAACTTGATTAAGATATTATTGTTAGCTATTTACAGACAGTTATCACTGATCTGCATACTTACATTTTATCCAACTTGTACTGCTTTGTTGGGCATTCTATAATAACTCATAAATGTACCCAATCTATCTCTGTTTACTATTCCACTTACACTATTGTACATTTTAAAATATATTTCATTGTACACTCTTAGAAAACGGTTATAGAACCTTTTTTATAAGAGTATACATTGCACATAACTATAACCAGAGATGCAAACAGGTAAGGGGGAAAAAGGTGAGAACATTGCGCGGATTGGGGGCATGCTCCACATGGAATTTCTTTTAAAGATATTTGCTTTACATGCTCATTTGTAGTAACTTTAAGGTATTTAAAAAAATATTTTTATTACCTTATATGTCCAAAACTGTAATTTTTCACAAAATTAAAATTAACATCTTGTTGCAACATTATACAAAAATCAAGATTTAATATATTTGGTCAAAATCCTATGTTATAAAAGATGAAGTGCTATGCAGGCTATTTAAGACAATATTGGCTGATTAGACGGCAATGCAGACCAAAAATGCAAAATGCTTGCCCTCTCTCTCTTCAACGTTCCCACATCTCAGACCTAAAATATATAACATATTACCCTTTTTAGACACAGTTTCTGAAGTAAAGAGTAAAGTAAATACTATACAACCAGGGGCCAGTTGCATAAACTTAGCCACCATATTACTAGTTTGACAAACTAGCAGTTGCCAAGGGGTAATCAGTCTTACTTTTCCAATACAAATAAGACCAATCTACCTTTTCATAACTGAATTAAAAAGTTATGACCAGTCTTGAAGAAAAAAAAAATAGATGGCTAACTTTTTAAGACTAGTCTAAACAAGTTTATGCAACCAGCCCCAGTTCTTTATTTACCCCTGTAAGATCACAAGTACTCTTGTAAGACCCCTCCCCCCTCATAAAAACACTTTCTCATTGGATCTAAGCAAATCTCATAGGTGACCTATTTTGATCTCTAAAAAGTGAGAAAGGTGAGGAGTTTGCATCTATGTATAACCCCAATCATCCTATTTCTTCACCTGTACATTAGCGTCTGATCCAATCTCTGTGGCCAAAACTAAATTGCACCTTGGGAGATAAATTCATATTGTATTGTATTGATTAGAGGTAGAATGACAGGGGAATGAATCGGGTACTGACTGAAATAGAAGGGTAGAGAGGTGTAATTATGGGCTTCTCTATAAGCGATGAGGTTGATCTCATGCTGCCGCTGCTGTTGTTGCAGTCTGTGTTTGGCTCGACGGTGGTGGCACAAACAGCAGCAGCCCAGAATGATGATGAGAGTCAGGACCAACCAAAACCCTGATGAAAGAGCACACACATAACACAGTACTGTTAATGAGTGAAGAGAACATCATGTCCGAACCAGGCACAACACACCATAAATCACAACTCTTCCATGTTAATCTGAGTCGTTGTCACCAGTGTTGTCTGACAAGAAGACGTTTTGTTAGTTGCTTGGTTTCTATTTTCATTGCATCACACATTACACCAAATACACAAAATAATGTTCTTTTTAGCAGCATCATATGACCCCTTTAAAGCTCTACCCACAGTCAAATTTCATTAGTCTAACATTTTGATTGGATGCACACTGTGTACACGCTATTATTTAAAAGTTTGCAGTTGGTATGATTTTTAAAATGTTTTTGAAAAAAGTCTCTTATGCTCATGATGACTGCATTTATTTGATAAAAAATACAGTAAAAAGAGCAATATAGTGAAACAGTATTACAATTTACAATAACTTTCATATTTTAATATTTTAAAGTGCAATATATTCCTGTGGTGGCAAAGCTGAATTTTCATCATCCCTTACTCCAGTCTTCACTGTCACATGATCCTTCAGAAATCATTCTCATATGCTGATTTGGTGTTCAAGAAACAAATTTTTTTATACATTGATGCATTTTTTTATACAGTGATACTTTTTTTCAGGATTCTCTGAAGGATAGAAAGTAAAAACAAAAAAGGGTTTATTTGAAATAGAAATCTTTTGTAGCATTTTAAATTGTCACTTTTGATCAATTTTAAGCATCTGTGCTTAAAGTATTAATTTCTTCACAAAAACAAAAAAATCTATAAAATATTTTCATATTGGTACAGAAATGTCTTCTCCCAAAACAACCTAACAATCTGGCACCAGATCACAAGAGAAGAATGTGCTGGACATTAGGGTGTGACGCTCATCAGCTAACGGTAAGAGTCGTGTGGGTCAATGTCATGTATGTGAAACTTAGCTCCAAATAAAGCAGAGACCTTTCCTGGCAGACAGGGGGTCCACTTTTCCTAATAGAGAAATTTAAGGCAGCTGTTTACAGGGGCTGGTCTGATCCGGTTACACTGGATTTGTGTCTGTCCGGGTCGCATGTATTTGGCACGTTGTACAAAACCCAAAGTGCAGCTCCTTGACTCAGCAGACGATGTGCTGTAATTACCGTGGAGATGAGGTTAGTCCTCAGTTATTAAAATAGATGGTACACCAGAGGGAGAGGGATAATTTGATAACACAGAAAAGGAACACTGCCAACGGGCGTGAACAGGGCAGAACAACAACTAGATCAGGGCCAGCCAATGACATAAAAGTTAGAAGCAACACACACATATCATACCCATAATTAAAACCTATGAAAGATGTTTAAAAAAAGGACAAAAAAACATAATATCCGTTTGTACTGTGAGGTCACTTACATTTGTGCTTGAAATTATAGCAGATCTAGTTCCAGTAAGCTGTGTGATTGAACACCTAAATCCCATTACTATTTACGGAAACAAATCAATTACAGTGTCAAACATGAGCCATGACTTGGGATGTCTTTTCCCAAGGCATGCCGCCTCCTGTCCAACCCATAGCTGGCATCAGAAGCTTGGGCTGCTTACTGCAAACAACTTGAAAACAAAAGCAAGTGGCACGTTACACCCCTAAATGCTATTACAACTGTATTTAAATGCTGAATCATTTCAAAGTTGAATGTAATCTAATTTTTATAAAATCTAGACAGGCTGCCTTTTCTATCAGAGTTTACAGTGTCCTGGAATTGGGACGACTGTAATTTACACAACCAATATGCACTTGAAGGGACTACACACATATCCAAAGCAACTGGAGGATGTTTCAGACACTATAGAGAACATATACACCATGGACTGACCTCATCTTACAGCATGTGTAGGCAGGAAGGACTTAGATACTTACACCACACCTCGTAGTAATAGCTGCAACACTGAGATTCCCCACAGCAGTGGCCCGAATCACAGAAGTAGCTCTGGTTGTTCACTCCTACACAAAGCAGCCGGGTCTGCAAAACCAAACAGAAAATATAAGCATATTATCAGCACAGATCCCAGAACAGCTCTGTGCACCAAAGGCTTTTTTATGGTGATAAACTAAAATGAAATTACATTTCAGTGCAATATATAGCCAAACGAACAAGTACAGTAATATATAAAGTAAATAAATCACTACAAACACAGTGATACTGTGATACATACAGGTGATAATAAACAGCACATTAATACAGTTGACAGGCAGATCGCTATGCAAATCTTTGAGTGAGCAGACTGTATTATACTTGCATATAGTTACATTTGCTAATTAAATTAATATATAATAATGCTGATTCCTCTGCTCTCGTTTTACCTGTCTAAACCCCAGGAGAAAAGGCATGATAGGCGTCTGATAGGAAAATCAACACAGCAGAGACACAGAGTTTTGTTACACAGGGCTGCAAAGACCAAGGGAGAGACAGAAGAGGAAGGTCGGGCTCGGGCCACCCACCGCCCACACATGGTACAGTGCGACATGAACTGCCCTCTTTATTAGCCGGAGGGGCTTGATTTAAACGCACACATACACAGCCTCCCTCATGGCATTTCAGACTCAGCGAGGGCTGCCAGGGAATGCAAGTAAACAGGATGAACAGACAAGCGGTCTGTGCTTCTCTCACATACACGCAGACATCGATGACAACTGCTGGCCTGACAGTTGTCTCGAGTGGTGTGCTAGATACAAAGGATAGCCAAACTGAAATCTTGCCTGTTGAACAATAGTCTTAAATTGACAGTAAAATGCACTCACTTTTGACCAATTTGAGATGATGATCAGTGATAACAAGCAGTGGAAAGCAAGTTTGAGTGTTCAGTGCTGCAAACCTGTGCAGGGTTGGACGTAGTGCAAAAAAATTTTAGACAGAATGGCAACTGGCAGCAAACAGCTGAGTTAAAGGTTAATTAGTTAATTATTACACATTCCTGGTCTTATAAATTGGAACATCCAGAAGACAAAAATACCATTCAAATACATTTTTAGTGATAATTTATGAAGCATTCAAGACGAACCAACCAGGAGCTCCAATGTTGTTAAGTGATGTTATATTAGACACTGTTATCCAATTTACGTCTACTAAAGATATACATTATCAGTTAATGCATTTCCTGTGAATTGAATCCGTAACCACATCTGCTGTTTATAGAAAAGCATAATTCACCCCAAAATGAAATTTCTATTATCATTTATTCCCCCTCATGTCGTTACAAAGCTCTATGACTTTTTATTCCTCTGCTGAACATAGAACATTTTTTGCAAAATTTTGGCAACAAAACAGTTTTGGTGACAACTGACTTCAATTGTGTGGATAAAAAACACTGAGAAATTTCTCAAGAGATCTTCTGTTAAATTTTACAGAAGAAAGAATGACATTTTCATTTTTTGGTGAACTATCCCGTTAAGTACACAATGTTTTGCCTTTGTCTGTTATCTCCTAATTAATAGTTCAATACCTTTTTTTAAAATGGAAAAGGATGATTGTTGTGCTCAAAGAAAAACAAAAAGGTTATATAATCTTTAAATAAAAAATAAAATGTGCAAAATGCCTGAGTAAATTTATTTAGTTGAATTTACATTGGAAGTTGATATGTACACTACTGTTCAAAAGTTTGGGCCCAGTGAGTTTTTTTTTTTCTTTTTGAAAATAATATTCAGCATGGACACATTAAATTGATCAAATGTGACAGGAAAAACATTCAGAAAATGACAAAAGATTTCTATTTCAAATAAATGCAGTTCCTTTGAACTTTCCATTCATCCTGAAAAAAACAACAACAACATAAAAATCATACAGACTTCTCAACTTTTGAACAGAAGTGTGTCATTTAAAAAGGTTGTGATATAGAGCTTCTCATTATCCGGTCCTAATTCTTCTCTCATCAAAAGTCCTGTTTGACTTCAGAAATGTGACTATTGAAGTAAAAGCTGTGAACGCCATTTCATAGGCACAAAGCATGTGGTTTTTGTAATGTTAGCAGATCGAAGATCAGCTTATCTTTTAGGCACCTACATTCCCTCAGAGATAACACCTGTGGAGAGCAAACAGCTCACTCCCTGCTTTTTTCATTCCCTGACCTTGATCTACCACCTGTCACAACAGAGAGAAGAGCATCTTCTTCATACACGCCTATCACAGTCAAGGCCAGAATAAAAGCACAGTCAAAACAGCCTTAGCCCGTCATCATTGAAATCTTTTAAATATGTGCTTTTTCTAGACAGCCAACATTAAAGTGTCAATCACAGTCAACTGTACAATTCAAACTGTCATTAAACAATTAGATTGCAGAATGATCACAACCTTAATACCAATAAAACCTTGCGCTGGTTGAAATATCCTATTGTACATCCTTACTTCAGTGGCAGCAGTAATAATAGATGCTTTTTTAATTATTTATTTACCCATCAGAAAGGATAACATTAGGGCCGAGACAAAGCTTTATGAATCACTCATTTGGCTGTGTATTTACATGGAATCTCAGCAAGACTGAAATGGAACAGACTTTCCTAGAATTGTATTCTGTTTACAGATTAACATTGCTGAACGTTTTTGAATTAGTCTAAATAGGAACCTAAATGTAGGGAATCAGGGTGTGAATTGCTGACTTTAACAAAGACTTAAAAATTCATACAAGGATATTGAATCACTTACTCAAAAGCAGCCAAAGTCACCACCGACCGACTACTGAAATACCTTTCTTTCAGTCCTTTCTTTGGCAACCAGCAGTTTAATGTTAGGCAAATCAAATATTGCAGTCAACATATCAGGTCCCACATTATTATTATTATTATTATTATTATTATTAGGTGTCTTTAACTACTTGGCTAAAAAAAAAAAGGTTAAATATATCTTATTGTGTTTTCAGAACTTACTGTGTTCTTGCTGCAAAACACTTTGTGGCTATTGAGGTGGGATACAGGTAAGGTTAGGGAAAGGTTTCATGTAAGTAAAATGTACGTTTCATATAAGTATAGTGTAAAAACACGTATGAAATGATTAATTTAAATGCTGGTCTATTGTAGGTAAAGTGGGTCGACTTTATACATATATCTAGATTTAATTGATTTACAATTAAAAGTAATGATGCCTAATGACGTGACACTGTTATAGTCCATATATCATAGATCAGTGAATGTATATTCCTGTACATTTATTTACTTTAAAAGCCATATAATGAACATAGCTAAAACTGTTCAGATCAGCCCTCTAGGTTGTTGTCATCCGAGTTTACTAAAACGGATTATTTATTTTTTTTTAAAGCGGACGAATTAGTTCACTTACGAACTTTGTAAAATATGTTTGTGGCATGTCAGACTTAAAAATCTAAGTAAGCTTTGTTGTCAGTGCTGTGAACACAAACATACAGTCTGTGCTTCAAAACCTAACGAACTGACTACGTAGACAACATTTTGAGTACTATGAGCACAACATTTAAATGCACCTAAGGTGCCTCAAAATGCTGTCTAAGTAGGCAACTCACTAGGTTTTGAGACGAAGCCACAATCTACCGGCTAGGCTAATGATGCTAACAGGGTTTTACCTCGGTCAGCGCTGCCTCCACTGTCACCGAACCGATCGGTCCAATAACCGCGTTACTTACAAACAACCCCATTCCCTGTTTTATATATCCAACCCCCCACATTCCGTCCTTTCCCGTGGCTTTCGACACATCTGCGACACGGTAGGACATTCAGCTAGCCTGCGAGCTAGCTTCAGTTACGTCTCTTTCTTCTTTCTTTCAACTCTCTCACAAACTCCGAAAGTCTCCACAAGCCCAGCCCAGCCCAGCCACCTGCTGCTATTGGTCCGTTCAAGCGAACACTTCCTGGTTTGACAACTAAACGGAGCGACGATTGGATGATTTATCTGTCGTTTAAACACAACTAAAGCGACGGCAGGGCGTGACTTTGTTGTCTTTACCAGCTGAGACCAAGAAATCAGCTGACATTGAATTTAAAGGGGCAGGAAATGACATATTTCCCATATGCAAAAAAGAAAGCGAGCAAAAGCAAGAAAGAAAGCGATAGATAGGCTAGATATAATCGCACGGGCGGACAGTGAGTGAGGGAGTATTACTATTATTAATTATACAAGTATATGATAAGTACACTGACTGAAAATCTTTTCCTGCATGATACAATACAGTAATGCAAGTAGATAATATAAGTAGTTATATAAGTAAATATAACTAACGTAATTTGCCATGATGAGAAATATTGCAAGTATCTGCCAAATACTGTACTTTTACAGCATTTAATGACATTCCTTATGTCACAAATCATATTTCCCATGTCTGTGTTTTAAAGTATTTAAATAAATAAATATTTTAGAGTATTTAAACTGTGATATGATGGTGGCTTTAAATACTCAGTAATAACATAACCTAAGAAATACGGTGGATTGCGAAATTTTCTAATGTTTGGAATACATAAATATAGAATATTAAGAATACCAGACAAGATATAGGCTTAATTGGACAATTTATCAATTAACTATTATTTGCTGGATTCAGTTACCAAGGTTCTTAGGTATCTCAAGGATCTAATGTATAAAGTCAACTGCTAAATAACTACTGCGATTATTTTTTGTTAAAAATAGTTAAAAATGGAACATTTATGAATGAACCTTTTTCACTATCGCACCAACAGATGCCAGTCCACACACACAGGGGATCCATTTATAGTGCCTTTCAAAAAAAAAAACGCCCAGATGGAAGTATTTTATTAGACAGGCTGTAGTGAAAACATTGGATTCGGACAGGCCTTGATGGCTTTCTAACCGTGAAGGCAGCATAGCTCAGGATTCAGACACAGCCTGGGTGTACGCTGTCATCGAGAAAGTGACAACCACTGATCCCTAGATAATCAGTGTAATCTCTCAAGTAAACTTGTTTGTTTTGTGGTAAATGTTATTTTGACAGCCATAGCTAAGGGCTCTTACTCGCTTTATTCTTGAGACATATCTTTCCGACTTGGGACCGCGGCTTCTTAGGTGAGACCCTTTGAACCAAGCCAAGTTAAAAGGAACAAAAGCAAACAAATCACATTGTTCTTTCAGGAATTTTTCTTGTTCACTGCCTTTAATTTCTCTCTTTTTTAGGCACTTCTCTCATTCAGAACAGTGAAGTCAATGGATCCTTACATCCCAGCTTGACAAGTTAGGAGGATACAAGCTAATCCCCTTAATCTGTCTATTCTCCCGTGCAGTGCCAAAGGAGGAGAGGTACCCAGCACAAGTAATCCTGTAGAAAAAACAATAGGATTAGACCCCAGCTCTTGGAGTGACAATCAGATATCTACTGACTGATTTGCAAAATAGGGTCGAGTTTCTTCAAATGAGCTTTTTTTCCCTCCTCTAGGGAAAAGGTGCCTTTCATTAACTGCTGGTGGGATTCCTTTAGGACAGATGCTGGAGGTCCGCATGAAAGGCATGTATTCTTCGCTTCCAGCACACAGGTCCTGGGCTTCTCCCACAGCAGAGGCTGAGAGGTGGGGACGCACCATTGGCCTGGGCGACCGCTCCACCCCTTTACCCTCTGTCAACCCTTTTATAATTCAAACTCTAATGCTTTTAAAAAGTGTTTGACAGATCAGACGGATCAGATTCCTCTGCTTACTGAGTATACATGTAGCAGATCAACAAGGCTAAATGACGGGGATAGTGTGAGATATGATGCCTGTTCTTTTCATTTGTATGCAGCCATGCAACGTGTTTTTTTTTTCTGTAACATTTAATGAGATGAATGTCTTTTGGACAGTTGCTACTCTTTGATACACTTTTACAGTGGATACATATAAACCTATAGAAAATCAATGTTTTACAGACAGATATATACTACCATCTCCGCAGAAAAATGTATCTACATATATAATTTAATTAAAAATAAATGAAATAATAATAACATATAACAATTTATAATATAAAAGGTGTGTGTGTGTGTATGTATATATATATGTATATATTATATATAATTAAGAATAATTCTAGTATTTGATGTTTAATTTCTATATATTTATATATTACATTTACATTTAGCAGACACTTTTATCCAAAGCGACTTACAAATGAGGACAATAGAAGCAATCAAAATCAACAAAAGAGCACTGATATGCAACTTTTTAATATATTAATTATATTATATTAATATATTATTATATTATAAAAATATATTAATATTATATTATAATTTTATATATTAAAAATACACATTTGATTAAATGTTTATTATTCAAATATTATGTCATTATTTAATAGTTCAGATGTCCATCCTTTCAAATACAAAATATATGTATCAGAGTTGTTATAAAATACAATTAGCAAGGCAATATATACATTTTTGATCATTTTATTTTTTTGTTTATTTTCAAGACATACATTATACATATTTATGAGTGTGTGTGTGTGCATGCTTTTTTTTGCTAATACCATTTATACATTTGCTATTTATACTTTTCTGTAATGTTTTTATTATTTTATATATATTTACTTTCTATATATTTAATGTATTTTCTTAATTTATTATTCAGATAATATTTGAATTGTTCAGATGCACATTCTTTTCAGCAGTGAAAAATATTGCCTGTGCCTTAAGTGTGTCAGAATAAAATGCAATAGTTGTGTCTTCCTTGTGACCTTTAGATGGCACTATTGGTATAAAATTACCCCAGAATCCTCTGTGACGTGTATGTAGGTTGAAGCCTATTCCTGGGTGTGTGATTAGCCACTGTGACACTTGATACTTAACCACAAGCTAATGCAGTTTAGGAAAGGCATTGTCCTGTAGGAAACAAGGGTCACCTGCACTGAAGGAAGTCCTTGATTCCATTTAAGTCCAGTGAACTTGGCCAAGCAAAACACAGTGTGACTCTTAAAATCTCACATTACTTTTCCAGTCCAGTCCGTACATAATGAGAACAGTTGTGGATTATTGGGCAAGTGAAAAATGTGTGAAATTCACCTGAACCTACTACGTGGTTTTGAGGTGAAATAGTCATTCTCATATTAATAAAAGTCAAGACCATCCTGCGAAATGTGAACAGATAGTGTGAAGATATGAAGTCCTTGATCATGTAGCTCCAAAATATAAAACATGTTCAGAGTTGAATGACTAAAGACATGCTTTCACCCTCCTTCAAGTCTAAGGTAACATGACAGATACTGTTTCACCTGCTAAACACTTTGCTCTCACAGCCAAATAGCTTGGCTTCCAGCTATTCTTCCAACATCTGCCGGGAGAACCACGGTGTAATTGAGGCTTTAAAAAGGTATGCCAGAAAGCTCAGCAGATGCATCATTACAGTCTTCGGCCTGTCTTTTGAAAGCTAAATTTATGAAGCGGTCTTTGCTCAGGTCTCTATCAGTGGTTTGCACTCTTCACTCTGAACGCTGTTGAGATGCTAGAGCATGTGTCCAGCATGGGAATAGATGCTGTACAGACAAACAAAACAACCGGAGCTAGGAATTAAAACAAATTAGATCACAATGCTTTCAAAAATGTCATCAGCGGTTTCTCGTGAGTGCTACTTGCCATCCAGATGTTTCTTCCGAGATCAAAGCAGGAATGTGCTCTGATGGTGTAAATGTATTTGTTGTGTAATACTGGTAGATAATGTAAACCCTTGTGCAGGAAAGTAGACCTTTTGTCCTTAAATTGCCAGTATGATTTTAGTGATTTGTGCAGGTGCAAAGCGTGTAAAGTGGGTTTAATCGCACGTCTTTGTAATCATTGCCTTTTTATATACCAGCATTTCCAAATCTGTGCTGCGTGCACAGGCAAGTGTAAAGATAGTGTAAATAATCATGTTACGCCAGACGTGACATTGGTTGCTCTGTGGACAATGTTTGTGTGTGTGTTCCTTTGTGTGCTGTAGGTTCCGAAAATTTAATCCTCAAATCCCCTTCCCATAAGGCGCCTCCAACCCCTCCTCACGTCCTCTGAAGGTCTTCATTACCTTTGTCAGAAACTCTGAGCTTGTGGCTCACCCACAGTTCCCCAAGGGCCTTTTGGTAATGACCTTGTGCTAGATATAAAGGGAAGAAGAAGGGTGCAAGAAATAAAACTAGAATCACAGTAAATATTGTATTATGGCAATTATGCTTTTACTGAAGCCACACTGTGTAAAATTCACTGCCTTCATTTTAGGAATATCCACAATGTCATCCTCAATATGAGTGAGTGCCCATTTCCTGCTGAGCTCCAAACCTATGGATTATTATTTATTAAACCGACCAAGTCTTTGCGTCCCGGGAGGCCATATTTCCTGCATGATTGTACAATATCTGCACGGAAGTGTAGGCATTCCTTTTATCCTCAGTGACAAAATCAGCTAATGGATTGTCCCACATTGCATATGATCTAATTTATTCCGTGATTGACCATAAATCACATCAAGCCCAATATGAGCCATGGCTTTTACGAATTACACAGAGGAGCAACTGTGCTGTGCATTCTCTGGGCTGTTCAACGTTTCTTCTCAGTAGTTTCTAAACAAAGTATGGTTAGCATATGTTAGATTAAATATTCCTATGATGATGTTAGATGTTAGTGTTCCTTTAAAAGGATAGTTTGCCCAGAATTTAAAATTGTCATAATTTATTCATGTTCTTCATACAAGCTATGGCTTTAGAAGATTTGGAATATAGCACATGACTGCATGAGTCACATGGACCACTTTTATGATTCTCTTATGGTGCTTTTTATATTTTTATATATTTTTATTTTATTTATATTTATATTTTTGAAGCTCGACAGCCCCAGTCCTCATTCATTACAAT